GCTAACTCTGGTTGTGGATTGGAAGATTCAACAAAAGTTACCTTTTTTGGCAGCTGCTACCGTTCTTTAGCATTAGTGCTCTTCTGTAATATTGTGATCTGTCCTTATTTTTGGTGCAAGTTACTTGATTGAGTTCAACAGTAAGCAACAGGGTGACACAGTATATAGCATTTCATACATTCTGGAGCACGCTTATGGCTCAGAAGGATCACTTGAGCTCTTCTAACAAAGTAAAGCTAAAACTAGAGGGTTTGGGTTTTTTTTTTCACATGAATTGAAAAAATAAGCCCATACTTTCAACAAGTCACCAAATCCTCTACTTGAGCAGCTCCACAACTGCAGCACATATTAACACTGTCCAGACTTTCTGTGGAGGCTCTGCAGTCTGCCATTTGGCAAAATATTTGCTTCAATTCGTATCCTAGCACAGCTTCTTTCCTAGAGCCTCAGGGAAGGCATAACTCAAAAGCAGCACTGATTAAGCGGGCTGAACTGCACAACACAAAGCTTCCATTCAAAAAGCCTGCTGTTTTTCAGCCTGAGTTGCCAACACTATTTATCTTACTGCTCTGATCAGAATCCCATACTACAGCATGAATTATAGTTAAATCTTGACATACAGCAAAGACTGCTCAGATAAATGGCACAGCAAACTACAATTTCTTACACTAATTCTTATTATGGAGGTATGCACAAGCCATGCAAGGAAAGCAAAAAGAATCACAATTCTAATGCCACAGTTTGTCCATACTTTTCATCTTAGTTATTCCCGGATTGAGGGAGAGCCCCAAGATGGTGTAGAGTAACACCCCTGGCTGAAACCTGGCAGCTGTTGCCAGCTTTTCATGCTGTAGATGACTTTCTGCAGAATTCTTTCTTAACATTTCATTCATACACTGAGTGTCCTCAAGCTGCACTTTAACTGACCTACAATAACAGGCAATTTCCTACCTCTCCCTGCACAAGTCTTCAATTAAAATTATTATAAAATGTTTCCACTATAACTAATACATGGCTTAGCAGCAGCAAGCTTACAGAACCACCTCTATAACCCAAGTTCCAGAAGAATATACAAAGTTATTCTAAGAAAATTTCATCTTGAGTGTGCTCGCTGGGCATGTGAAGGACAACCAGCGGATCAGGCCCAGCCAGCATGGGTTCATGAAAGGCAGGTCCTGCTTGACCAACCTGATCTCATTCTATCACCAGGTGACCTGCCTAGTGGATGAAGGTGAGGCTGTGGATGTTGTCTACCTGGACTTTAGTAAGGCCTTTGACACTGTCTCCCACAGCATCTGCCTGGAGAAACGAGCTGCCCATGGTTTGGATGGGTGTACTCTTCACTGGATAAAGACCTGGCTGAATGGCCAAGCCCAGAGAGTGGTGGTGAATGGAGTTAAACCCAGCTGGCAGCTGGTCACGAGTGGTGTTCCCCAGGGCTCAGCTTTAGGTCCGGTTTTGTTTAATATCTTTGTCAATGCTCTGGATGAGGGGATTGAGTGCTACCTCAGTAAGTCTGCAGGTGACACCAAGCTGGGCGGCAGCGTTGATCTGCTCGAGGGTAGGAAGGCTCTGCAGAGGGATCTCGACAGACTGGATCGATGGGCCGAGGCCAAATGTATGAGGTTCAACAAGGCCAAATGCCAGGTCCTGCTCTTTGGTCACAACAACCCTGTGCAATGCTACAAGCTTGGGGAAGAGTGGCTGGAGAGCTGCCCAGCAGAAAAGGACCTTGGGGCTTTGGTCAACAGCCAGCTGAACTTGAGCCAGCAGTGTGCCCAGGTGGCCAAGCAGGCCAATAGCATCCTGGCTTGTGTCAGGGAAAAGG